AGAAACGATAAATCCATATTTTTGTGTTGAATTTTTTATTATAATTTTCGATATTCACAAATTATGCCTAAATTTACACAAATTATGTCTAAATTTTCACAAAATATTTACCTCTCAAAAAAACCTAGACAGACCCCTGAAAATTTTTTACAAAAGTACAAGGAGGGTGCAAATATCTCTTCAAGGTGGGTCACTCTTCTAAAAATACTCTAAGGAGAACACTTTAAAACATAGAGCATTTATAATTTTAAAACATGCTTGATTAGCCTTTTTAGTTAATCATTTATTTCAAGATAGAATTTATATTAATTGGTTTCTCTTTTTTTTTAAAAATTATTAATTCTCTATCTTAGCATGATTAGATTTTCAAAGACTAGTAAAAGAAGCATTCCATATAAATAGAATAAATAAAAATTTATCAATAGTGAAGATGTCAGGAAGCTAAAATTTTATTCAGAAATTTTTCATGGAGAAGTTCTTTTTGTGATAATCATTGTATTTATTTTCTGCTAAATTAATGATAGTGGAATAGGATTAAATATGCCAATATTTGTTATCAAAAAAGAAAAATTGTATAGTTGTGTACAATATTTTATTTGAAATTAAAAAATTTTAGTAATTGTTTTTGAATATTTTTTTCATGCTATTATATTACTTACATTAGCTAATTTGGTCAAAATAATTTTCATATTTTTTTAATTAATATTTAATTATTATATTTATGCATACTTTAAATGTTTTGTAGGTGTGGCTATTGTAAACGTTTGAAGCCAGTATGGGATGAACTTGCTGAGAAATATAATAAGGATTCTAGTCAACAGGAAATTGTTATTGCAAAAGTAAATATCTCTATTTGATGTACAATACTTGAGCAGGGATATTTGCAATTATTTAAATTTTTTATGTTTGTTTTTAAATTTTATCATAGCACTACATACTGTTGTATTTTTATTTTCTCCATTAATTTTAGAAAGAAAAGAAAATTTAAGTAATTAATTATTTTTACGTGATAATTTTTATAAACATTTTGTAAATTTTTTTAAATTTTATTTATTGCTTTAATAGTTTTGCGAGATTACAATAACTTTTTTTTAAAAACTTTAATGAAAAAAGTTACTTAAAAAGTTTAAAATTTTTTTAAAAGGTTTCACTTTTTAAATGTACTGTAGACAGTAGCTCTGTTTAGTAATATTTTTTAAATATAGCAGTTATATACCTTAGTAATGTTTTGCAATTGACTTTATAAGTAAAACCTAATATTTTTATTATTATTATTTTTTATTTATTTATTTTTTTGCAGAATAAGACAGATTTTTTTTTTTTACTTTCATGTTAGGAAGTAAAAATAATTTTTTACGGAAATTTAATTAACAAGTTCGAGAATAGAAAAATTCAAACCTTCCTGTGCTTTTTACATCAGGCTTCCGACTGTGTTCATTTTTCTTTACATTTGATCAGTTGAAAATAAATTGAATATGCGAGATGTTTGTTAAAGGTAGAAAAGCTTCAATAAACGTAAAATTAATGTTTGTTATAAATTCTTAAAGTCAAGTACTTTTTTCATAAACTTCTTAATAAGTTTTTTTTTTAAAATTATATGTAAGTTTTATTTTATAGTATAGTTTAAGAGTCAGCTCCAGTACACTCCATATTTTAGTATCACTTATACAGTAAATTCGCGATAACTCGAATCTGATAGGACTGACGAAAAACTTCGACATATCGGAAGTTCGACTTTTTTATAAGGTTAA